CTGAATATGGGTGTAACATGTAACATGTTCTGAAAGGTGAACTCGTTTAATATTCATACTCTATTCTGCATGAGTTCCACCTATACAACCTTCTTAGGTTACTTGGATACAGAGGAAGCCAAAGGTTTAACTAGCAGCACTTGAACACACTGAGCAGGCATTACTAAACAATTGCAGCTCTCTGCTAAGCAAAAAGCCTAATTAGATTTTCAAACAGTTTCTGTTAAGCAGGAGAACCAACTATAATCTACTTTTCCTATCACTTATCTAGGAGGGTGCTACACAAGGAACAACCTTGCAGACCATGTGACGCTTAAAATATAGCAGTCAGTTCTCCTTAATCCTAGGCAGAAAGAAGAAATAAGTGGAATGTTACTACAGCCTCTCTCAGCTGTCATCTAGACACTAAACAAACAGGAATCTGGCTAAACAGATTACAGGATGTCTCCCTGAAGTCTCTCTTAGCTACCGCTTCCAGAAGCTTCTTTCACTGATCTTTCCCCCCAAAATCAGTGTCACGCATCAAACGCATGGCCACAGCGACAAACTAGCTAATGTCAGGAATGGACTTGCCAGTAATGGTGGGACTCACCTGCCTTGTGGGCTGCAGTACCAGGGCTGGCCAGCGGGTGCTCTCAGAAATCAGAGACTCAACCCTGTAGGCAGCCAAACACCTGAAGCTGATTATGCAGGTGTATTTAAGGGATGGCCAGACCTGCAGTCTGTGCCTTGGTGTGTGCTTTTATATGGGCCCCTGTATCTTGTTACCTGCATCCCTGTTCCTGTTCCTGTTCCTGTCTGACTGATTCGTTGCTGACCCTGCCTGATCCGGACCTCTGCTTGAAAGGATTAAATGGAATATAACTGAATCCATTTTGTATACACTAATACAAGATGCTAGTTTAATATACATATATGAGATGTGTGCACGTGTTTGTAATCGCAACTGAGGTGATTTGAGTGCATTCACTTTCCGAGATCTCGTAGCTGTGTCCAGGTGTGACCGTTGGTATCTTGAGGGGGCCCCCAAGGAAAAGGAAAAAGAACCACCTACCTACTTTCAGTGGTGTCAGAAGTGGGATAATTGCCAAGGTAAGTGAGAGTTTTATTTTTTAATGCTTTCTTTACCGAGGTAGTAATTATTCTGAACTTCAGGGAAATTTGGTGGTTGGAGTTTTTAGGAGCGACCGTGACTAAGGGATTCTCGGCTCGGGGAATAATACCAGGACACACCTGGCACAGCACTTTGTATAATTTGTAAAAAGTGTGTTATTGTTGTTTTTTTGTCTTGTTTGTTAGTTTACTAATTTACTGCTATGGGTAATTCCTCAGGTAAGGAATTCCTCAGGTAAGTTGTTTAGAAAACTAGAAAGCTGAGGGAAAGAACACATCTACCTTAAATGAAACTTGTAAAGAATATGTAGCAAGGGTATCTCCTTATGATATTTATTATGTTAATCCCTGGGTGGATAATTTAGTGGGATGGTCAAAAAGACTGGGTGGAGCTAGTTTTCCTTGTGAAGGGGGAAATGACACTATGTGTATGGATATGATTAGAGGAATGTGTTTGCAGGAACAGCCTCAGGTAGGTATCTGGGGGACTGGAAATCCAGATTGGGGACAAGAATTATATGTATGAAGGGGGTAAGAATTGGTTGAAGTATGCACCAGGCTAATAAGACTCTAATTGTAGCAAATGATTTCACACCACCACCGCCCCATACAAACACAGTGAGACGTCCTGCCCCTACAGCTCCACATGCAGCCCCATTATACCCAGCACTCCCACAGGTAAAACAAGTAGATGAAGATGAAGAGGTTCTTATTGCTGCTTCCCAGATATATACAGGGGAGTCAGAAGAATCTAGCTCAGATGGGGAAACTGGAGTGTTAGTCAAAGGGATACTTTGAGAGTGGGTAAAGGGAAAGTAAAGAGGAAGATAAAGAAGGTAGAAAAGAGTGATAGAATTCTTAGGTCAGCAGAAAGTAACAAAGGGGGAAGTTAAAGATGAGACAGCTGAGCTTAGATATGATGAATTCAGCCTTTCCATTCATGAATGATTGGGGAGCAGCTGATTTTAAAGGCAATAGATCCCAAGGAGCTGGATGCTATAGTACAGGGATGCCCTAATCAAGGAAATCCCTACTTGCATTACACCTCCCCTCCTGGTACAAGCAAAAGATGGACAGGTCTGGTATCATAAATTTCATGTGCTCCTGCATTGCCGCTGTAGCCCCAGTATATAACAACTTTGGTAAATGCTATTCTGCCAACGCCACACATTTTACAGTAATTGATCTGTCAAATGCATTTTTTAGTGTCCCAGTTGACCCGGAGACACAGGTATTGTTTACTTTTTGTTTTCAAGGGGAGAGGCTAACCTGGACCCATCTCTCTCAGGGCTACTCGCCGGCAGCATATACCATGGCCAGTAGATCCATGCTCAATGACTGGGTACCCACCCATGGTTCAGTACTTATCCAATACGTGGATGATTTACTGATTAGTTCGTTGTGAGCGAGAAGGCGTGTCAGGCTGATTCATTATTATTGTTACGGTTTCTGGCTGATCAGGGACAAAAAAGTCTCTCGCAAAAAAGATGCAGTTTGTGGCACCACAAGTTGAGTACCTAGGATTTGTATTGTCTGAGGGCCAGAGGGGGCTGAGCCCAAGGAGAGTGGCAGCAATATGTCAACAACCAAAACCAGAAACTAAGGTTCAGATGCAATCCTTCCTAGGTATGGTAAACTATTGTAGACAGTGGATTCCTGACTGTTCTTATTATGACAATGTATTACGCCAAGTGACACTGAAAGATCAACCAGACCGTATTGAATGGACGCTGCCATTGGTGCAGGCATTTGAATATTTGAAGGACAGCACTGGTCTCGTCTCCCGCATTAGGGTTACCGGATTATACTAAATCTTTTCATTTGTATTGTCAATCTGCATGTAAAACCATGGCTGCAGTACTAGCTCAAGAGCACGGAGGTGCCATGAGGCCCGCCGGTAGCATATTTATCAAAAACAATGCCCATCCCGGTCCAGGGCATGCCGGGGTGTCTCCAAGCTTTGTCTGTGTGTGCCTTGGCTGTGGAAATGGCATCTATCATAGTTTTGGGAAACCCATTGATATTACACACATCTCATCATGTCCTACATGTACTGAAAAACATTAACACTCAACACATGTCAGCACAACGCCTGGCGGGATGTGAAGTAATTTTGACATCCACCAATAATCTCACAGTTAAATACAGCCCATCTACATCAGGACCATCTCTTTTATTGTCCTCCCTGCTTAATCTTCACAACACAAAGGTCACCAGAATTGCAGGAGGAACACAATTGCCTGGATGTTATCCAAGCTGACACTCTCTCCGCGACTAGATATGTTGGAGACTTCCGATTCCTGGAGCCCCTGATGTGTTTGTCGATGGATCTTGTACACGCCCTAGTGATGCTACATACATCATAGGCTATGCAGTAGTAGAACCACCTCTTATTATTGAAACAGGTTCCATCCCCTACCCCAGTGCACAAGCAGCTGAATTAGTGGCCCTAACACGAGCTTGCACTCTTTATCAAGATCGAGATGTTAACATATACACAGATTCTAAATATGTCTTTGGGGTTGTACATGATTTTGGCCGTATTTGGCAACGCCGTGGTTTTACTACGGCCGATGGCAAGTCAATATCCCATCATTCTTTGATCCAGGATTTGCTTGCTGCACTCCAACTTCCAAGAAGGATAGCGGTCATTAAAGTGCGGGCACATACTAATGCCAAAGACCCAGTCACAAAAGGCAATGCTATGGCAGATGCAGCTGCAAAAACTGCAGGGCAACTGCATAATCGAGCAGATCTATCTATGGTAATGTTGTCCACTCCATCCCTACTGTCAAATGAGCTTTTAGGTACACTGCAGGCACAAGCCTCTGAGAGTGAAGTTGATTTTTGGGCTAGCAGAGGTTTGACACAAGACAAACATGGTCTTATGTCAAAAGAGGGGATTGTAGGACTTCCACAGGCAGCTGCTGTATTATTCATTCAAAATTTTCATGGTGTAGGTCAGAAACAATTGAGTACTGTCCGTGATACTTTTTTTATTTGCACTAACATACAATTTTGAGGACAAGCTTTCGGGGTATGTCCCCTTTCTTCAAGGTCTAAGCAGTACTATTAAAAATCACAAAGTTTAAGCAGAATGTTTAGAACGGATTGAGAGGAAAAAAAAAAAAAAAAAAAGGGCTACAGATAAGATACATCAAAAGTGAGGGGGGGGAGGGGGGATACAACACTCACACAGAGGGGGTCAAGTTTTAGCTAATAGATAGTCATAAAGCTGTCGGATAGTGGTTGAGGAATCCCATGTCCAAATTAAGACCGTTATCTTTAGTGTCAAATAGAATTATCATTCTTAGTTCAAATGTTTTTCTTTCCTGGATGGATTTAAATTTTCCTTTCAGAACTAAAATACTGCGATGGGAAGTAAAATGGCACCCCAATATGCAAATTTATTTATGGCTGACATGGAGGAACAATTCCTGAACAGCATGGAACAAAAAACCATACAGATACTTTCGCTATATTGATGATATTTTCATCATATGGACGGAAGGTGAAGAAAATCTAAAACAATTTTACTCATTGATGAACACTTTTCATCCATCAATCAAACTAAAAATGGAATACTCAAACACACACGTCAACTTCCTAGACACCACAGTATACATCAGGGATGATACGCTTCACACCTCAATATACAGGAAACCCACTGACAGATGCAACTACCTCCACAGTTCTAGCTTCCACCCCCAACACACACGAAACGTGCCATCATACACAGTCAGGCCATCAGATACCACCGAGTATGTTCTGACCCAAGAGACAGAGATAAACATCTTGGGACACTAGCAGACGCCTTCCATAAGAAAGGTTACAAGGACAAAACTATCAACACCAGCATAAACACAGCCTTGAGAACCCGAAGGGAAAATCTGCCTGGTGCCTCGGCACCCGCACTTCAGCCTGATGTCTCTACCCAGCCTGATGTCTCTACCCAGCCTGATGTCTGTACCCAGCCTGATGAATTGATCCAGCCTGACGATCCTATCACGCTTGATGACCCAGTGCCCGCTGTCATACCTGGTGACCCGATGCCCGCTGTCGAGCCAGACGATCCAATGCCTGATGACCCAGTGCCCGCTGTCATGCCTGGTGACCCGATGCCCGCTGTCGAGCCAGACGATCCCGGTACCTGATGACCCGGTGCCCACTGTCATACCTGGTGACCCGATGCCCGCTGTCGAGCCAGACGATCCAATGCCTGATGACCCAGTGCCCGCTGTCATGCCTGGTGACCCGATGCCCGCTGTCGAGCCAGACGATCCAGCGCCAGATGACCCGGTGCCCGCTGTCGATCCAGACGATCCGGTACCTGATGACCCAGTGCCTGCTGTCATGCCTGGTGACCCGATGCCCGCTGTCGAGCCAGACGATCCAACGCCAGATGACCCGGTGCCCACTGTCGATCCAGACGATCCGGTACCTGATGACCCGATGCCCGCTGTCGAGCCAGACGATCCAATGCCTGATGACCCAGTGCCCGCTGTTATGCCTGGTGACCCGATGCCCGCTGTCGAGCCAGACGATCCGGTACCTGATGATCCGGTGCCCGCTGTCGTGCCAATTGACTCAGAGCCCACTGTTGTGCCTGGTGACTCGGTGCCCACTGCCTTGCCAGATGACGTGGTGCCCGCTGTCGAGCCAAATGACCTGATGCCTGGTGACCCGATGCCCGCTGCTGAGCCAGACGATCCAATGTCTGACCCAGTGCCCGCGGTCATGCCAGTTGACTCGGAGCCCACTGTCGTGCCTGGTGACTCGGTGCCCACTGCCTTGCCAGATGACGCGGTGCCCGCTGTCGAGCCAAATGACCTGATGCCTGGTGACCCAGTGCCCACTGTCATACCTGGTGACCCGATGCCCGCTGTCGAGCCAGACAATCCAATGCCTGATGACCGAGCGCCCGCTGTCATGCCTGGTGACCCGATGCCCGTTGTCCAGCCAGACGATCCAATGTCTGACCCAGTGCCCGCGGTCATGCCAGTTGACTCGGAGCCCACTGTCATGCCTGGTGACTCGGTGCCCACTGCCTTGCCAGATGACGTGGTGCCCGCTGTCGAGCCAAATGACCTGATGCCTGGTGACCCGATGCCCGTTGTCCAGCCAGACGATCCAATGTCTGACCCAGTGCCCGCGGTCATGCCAGTTGACTCGGAGCCCACTGTCGTGCCTGGTGACTCGGTGCCCACTGCCTTGCCAGATGATGCGGTGCCCACTGGCGAGCCAAATGACCTGATGCCTGGTGACCCGATGCCCGCTGTCGTGCCTGATGACCCGGTGCCTGTCGCCCCGCCTGGGGGCCCGGCGCCCGACGCTCCGCCTGGGAGCCCGGTGCCCGCCGCCCCTCCTGGGGGCCCGGCGCCCCGCTGCTCCGCCTGGGGGCCCGGCGCCCGCTGCCCCGCCTGGGGGCCCGGCGCCCGCCGCTCCGCCTGGGGTCCGAGACCTGCCGCTCCGCCTGGGGGCCCGGTGCCTGCCGCTCCGCCTGGGGGCCCGGCACCCTCCGCCCCACCTGGGGGCCCGGCGCCCGCCACCCCCCCGCCCATCCCGCCCCGCCTGGGGGCCCGCACCTGCCCTCCACTCCGCCTGGGGGCCCCGGCGCCCCGGGCCCAAGACCTGTCGCTCCGCCTGGGGGCCCGAGACCTGTCGCTCCACTTGGGGGCCCGGTGCCTGCCGCTCTGCCTGTGCCTGCCGCTCCGCCTGGGGGCCCTGTGCCTGCCGCTCCTCCTGGGGGCCCTGTGCCTCTGCCCGGAGTCCAGCCCGAAGTGCCTCTGCCCGGAGTCCAGCCCGATGTGCCTCTGCCCGGAGTCCAGCCCGATGTGCCTCTGCTCGGAGTCCAGCCTGATGTGCTTCTGCCCGGAGTCCAGCCCGATGTGCCTCTGCCCGGAGTCCAGCCCGATGTGCCTCTGCCCGGAGTCCAGCCCGATGTGCCAGTCTTTGATATCCCACCAGTTACCAGACCCGGGCGGTGGAACATTTTGCCCAGCTAGGACTGTTTGGAGCGTCCTGAGGCCGCTCCTTGAGGGGGGGGGGTACTGTCAGGAATGGACTTGCCAGTAATGGTGGGACTCACCTGCCTTGTGGGCTGCAGTACCAGGGCTGGCCAGCGGGTGCTCTCAGCAATCAGAGACTCAACCCTGTAGGCAGCCAAACACCTGAAGCTGATTATGCAGGTGTATTTAAGGGATGGCCAGACCTGCAGTCTGTGCCTTAGTGTGTGCTTTTATATGGGCCCCTGTATCTTGTTACCTGCATCCCTGTTCCTGTTCCTGTTCCTGTCTGACTGATTCGTTGCTGACCCTGCCTGATCCGGACCTCTGCTGACTTCTCCTGTTTGATCCCTGGCTTGTGACCCCGACCATTCTCTGCCTGACCCCCTGTACCTACCTGCCCGTTAGTTGCTGTACTCGGCTCGTGACCTGACTACTCTCTGCCTGCTCCCCCTGTTCCTACCTGCCCGATTGTCATTGACCCGGCCTGCCTGACGACGCTTGCATTGTATGTATTGTTATCTGTGGGTGGTTTGGTTTGGTTTGTTTGCACTGTGTTATGTTTTAGTATTGCACTGCGTTTATGTATTGTTAGTGTTAATAAATTATATTGTTTTATAACATATCTGAAGCCTGCGTTTCCCTGCGTCAGTTCACATACCTCTGGTCATACCCTGGAGCCCTGACAGTTAAGGTGAGTTCCGTGCGTGGGGTAAAGAGGGAACGACTGGGACTTTGAGCATATAAGACTGGCCATGATACCCTTTCACAGCCCGCACTAGCTCTGGCCACCACTAGAGGGAAACTCCACTCCAATCTAGTTGGCTGACCACACACAGGCAGATGCGAGTCTTATATACAATCTGGTGCTCTCTAAGGGTTGGGGAGCAGCCTAGCAATTGGCACACCCTTCTAGGATTCCTTCAGCTATCCTGCAAGCTAGAACCCCCATGTTAATCACAATTCCACTGTCCACACACCCCCACACTAGACACAACAACAAATGGTAGCTTGCCGCCACCCAACAGTTTGTCCACAGACTGGTCTGCTGGGCCACCACACACACACAGATCTCCGTCTGGCAGATCTGCTACTTTATAATCTGCAAGCAATCTGCCAACACGCAGTGTAATTGCATACAGATTGGCAATGAACTTAGACCAAACAATACAACAATCTCTCTGGAGATATGAACCCGAGCTTAGGTACCCAGAAGTCATTATTAATTTTATGATCTAATATCCCGAAAGTGGGCAGTGCATAAAATATGTACAAAAAAAAACAGTTACAGAAAAGACAAAAAGACACACAATTGGCTATTCACTATAAAATAAAAAGGGAATAAAAACAGAAATAAAACTTTTAACAAGATTTATCCTACGACTGGAGCAAGTCAAAGAAAGTCCGCGATTCGCCAGTCATATGGAACCGGCTCTGTACGAATCCCCCCATCCATATCTCAGGGTCCTCAATTTATTTGAAATATGGATATGGGCTGGACTTTATCCCTTGGCCAATCAACCCTGGGGGGTGTTCCTGTACCCGCCCACAGGATGTTCTGTGTTCTGAAGTGCCCAGAGCTGCATGGACCAAGAACGGTTCAGATCACTGCATCAGGAATAGGATTTCCGACACCAGCACATCAGTCTGATCGTGACAGTACCAATCATTGTTCAGCTGTCACAATCAGGCGCCATATACACTTTTGGGTGTTCCTCTGGGATTCTACAGAGGCTACAAATATAGTTTTACATGGAGATGGAGCCTACAGTGTGCCCAATCAGAAGGAAGTATTTACATTTCTCTGCAACTAATATTTTAGCTTTTATGATAGATTAAATAGATTAGTCTGATCTGTGGATATAACTCAAAGCTGGCAGACCTTTCAGGGCCTTTGGCCTTTCTGCTGACTCTTGTAGCCAAAATGGCTAGGATTCTTCTTTTAGGTTCAAGAACGTGGCAAACCCTGGCTACATAGATGAGAACGCTGTATTGGCATCTAGGTGACAACTCTACCCTAGAAACTTGCTCTGTCCTTTCAGATGCTAATTAAAATATATGTCTATGACTGAATACTGAACACTTATCTTTAATAGCACGGAACTAAACTAGATCTAGAATTACATATATCTACTGATCACATCTCAACTACTGATAAAATGGTTCTACTCTTACATTTATGTTACAATCAGCATTCCTCTCTCCCTCCCCAGGCTGACACATACAGTATGTCCCTCATTTCTGTAGTTGTCTAATAGAAGTAGGTTGCAGCAACCATTTTGGGGTAGTATGTATGAATTCCATGCTACATTGTTGGAAAGGTGTTTGGAACAGAGTGACCTCTAGTGGCATAAAACAGTCCGTGTCAGTAAATGCTGCCACATAACAGATCATAATGGTAGTTTTTCCAAATGAACCAGTTCTGCTACACACCTACACAACAGGTAACAGTGAATGTTTCAATCCATAAAAGACCTATCAGTAGAACAGATAGCTCACAATTTCTATACTGTCTCTTTCTCCTTATCTCCATTTAGGGCACAACTGTCTTCCCATTTTTTTACTTCAGCCTTAAGGGATCCCAAATACATCCACAACCCACATATGTTTGACCCAAGTCATTTTCTAGATGAGAAGGACCGTTTTTAAAAAGGATGAATTCTTCATGCCATTTTTTACAGATATGGCTACTGTTGAGGGGAAAGTCCCACAAAATTATGTAACACTAGTAAATGCTAAACTATAAAGTATGGGATATATAAAAAAAAATCAGCCAACAAGCAAAACCAACCAGTGATTAACTATACCAGGGGTCTCCAAATTGTGGCTCAAGGGCCAGATGTGACCTTTTGCTATCCTTTATCTGGCTCTTGGGGCACTATTCCTCCCATTGCCACCAACAATGGCGCACTATTTCTTCCACTGATACCAATGATGGAATACTATTCCTCCCACTGACACCAACAATGGCGTACTATTTCTTCCACTGATACCAATGATGGAAAACTATTCCTCCCGCTGGCACCAACAATGGGGCATTATTTCTTCCACTGATACCAATGATGGGGCACTATTCCTCCCACTGATACCAATGATGGGGCACTATTCCTCCTACAATACCAATAATGGGGCACTATTCCTCCCACTGATACCAATGATGGGGCACTATTCCCCCCACTGATACCAATGATGGGGCACTATTCATACCACTGATACCAATGATGGGGCACTATTCCTCCTACAATACCAATAATGGGGCACTACTTTTTTTTTTTCTACTAACCACTAACCCTGAGGCCATGTTTATTCTAAGAGATTAGCCTGGAACATTTTCTACCCTCCCTGACCACAATATGGCCCCCCGAAGGACAGTAAACTGGCCCTTTGTTTGAAAAGTTTGGAGACCCCTAAACTATACATCCCCAGCACACTGCAGTTGTGCTGCAATCATCATATTCACTCTATTTACCATAATCAGGGTGCTGTGTATGCCATTGAAGCCACAGCACACACAGATCAACTCACAGGGTCACTATCAGGTCCGTAGGATTTGACGCAGTCATTACTTTGTACAGACTGAGTGGCCACTGCTATTCGCATACACCTGCCATCCAAGCCAC